GTGCCACTCAGTCTCAAGTTGAAAGATACGGCCCACCCCAAAGAGATACTCTGCAGACTGTCGCCCAGCAGCTGAACACTGACACGGACCCTTAGGGCGCAAGGCTGGCATCGTCCGTAGCATGAGCAAGCGGCAGAAACATTTGGAGACACTAGACCCCAGCGACAGTGGCCGTAAACTTTTGGCATCGAGCGGGTGCTTCTCCTTAGGTATGACCAGCATAAGCGCTACCCCCCAGTCTTCCGGGATGTTGGCTGACCGATAGACCTCATTGAAAAAGGGCAGCATAGCATCATCACCCCCTGGCGTGTTGAGGAGACCGACCAAAAGTTCATGACTGGTGCCATCAGCCCCCACTGCTTTGCCACTCTTCCCTTGCAAAATAGCCCATCTAAGCTCCTCCTTGGTGAACTCTTCCAGCTCACCCTCCCAGACAGGTTTCGGCGGGATAACTCCACCAGTTGTGTAAATTGCTTCAAGGTGATCATGGATCACCTTGTGGGGGCACCGGCCTTCCTGTGCTTCCGCAAACCCAACATCCCACCCTTTGAACTTCTCTGGTTTCAAGGTTCTGTAGGCATCCCAATCCCCCGAGGTCGCTCTACGCATGCGCTCCTCTTCCCATTGCTGTCTGTTCCTCTTCCGCATCCGCCTGGCTTGTGTCCAATCCACCCCTCGTTTAGTACTTCGTGCTTTCCGAAACGCTTCTTTGGTGTCAGCGCTGTCCTTATAGGCAAGGCTTGAACTCCGCTTGCGTGACAACCATGTAGAAGCCGTTGGCTGGATCAGCAAGATCAAGTGACGCCAGAAGACCTGAGACTACACCAAGTCGCCGCAGCTCATCTGCACTTGTAGAAGAGATGGCAGATGCCCACGTCATCAAGGTAGACTTCCTCTGGTTGATGACAGTCGGAGACACAACAGTCTTGGCCTTGCGCGCGACCAAGTCAGCCAAGATGACTGAACAACCCACTTGCTGTCCAAGCATGTTCCACAACACTTGTCCCGACAGATCAGGATGCACTGCTACTACAAGTGCAGCAGATCTTGCACAGAGACCAGGATCAACACGTTGTGTCGCAGTCAAGCCAGGAACGTTCAAGGCTGCACTACCAGTAGTTCTCAACACTCCTTGGTAGACAGTAGTGAAGAGGGACTTCAGGATGGCCCAGTCGATCCCTGAAGCAGAGTCATGAACACTGGTGTCAGCTGCAGTCTTGGAGAGTTCGATGAAGCGGTTGAGCTGTTCAAGGGCCTTGGTACTTGCAGGCAAGGTCAAGGCATCTTGAAGGAAGTCCCCTCGGAACCCCTGACTTGGGTAGGTGGCTTCGATGCCAAGACTCAAGCCTTGAGTCAAGGTCTCAAGATCTTGTCCTCCTACGACGATGAACGCGAACAGGATCACTGCTGTGCGTAGTTGTCGATGATGCATCATCGATCCTGTCAAACCAGATGTCGCGACCAAGCGACCAAAACAAAACCGTCCTACAGCACAACAAGATGCCAATGAAGACAGTTGTGAGGCTGAAGCTGAGGAAGGAAGCGAACAGCACCACGATGAGAGAGTTCGTGATGCTGACACCGGTGTCGCAACACCAGCAAGAACCTTCAAGTAGACGTACGTCAAGGGTACTAAGTGGAAACGAAACAGGCCTCAACACCTAGCACCCATGCACGTGTGTACCAGCTACTTGAGGGTTTAGGGGTTTAGGGTTTAGGGTTTTAGGGTTTAGGCGGTTGCCGGTTTAGGGGTTTAGGGTTTAGGATTTAGGGGTTTGGGGTTTACCGGTTTAGGGGTTCAAGCTTAGCAGCGCTTCTGGTCTCCGCAGACACTGCACTCTTGGCGGGAACCACTTGGGTCTTCACGGCCCTGAGCATATGCGGCGAGCTAGGAGACCATGACGTTTTCCTCTTTCAAAATCTTGTTTTCCTCTTCCACGATGAACTTTTCTAAGGGTTGAAGGCATTGTTTTTAGGGCTCTAGGGTCAAATTAGCTCCGGCTCTCGCTCATGTGTGGACACCTTGTTTTCTGAAGTAGGGCAAGTCAGGGTCTGGCTGAAATGCAGAGACATGCAGACACCAACCAACCCTAAGACTTGAAACATGAGGAACACTAGTGGATGACTTAGCTATCCAGAGGAACAGTGACATCATGTAGGTAGCAGTTTCAGCGATCGCCCCACAAAGCCTATAAACCCCAAACTCCAAAGCCTAAACCCCCCACAAAGCCTATAAACCCAAGCCCCAAAGCCTGAAGCCTAAACCCTAAACCCCAAAGCCTGAAGCCTAAACCCCAAACCCTAAAGCCCAAACCTCAAACCCTAAAGCCTAAACCCTAAAGTCTAAACCCTAAAGCTCAAACCTTAAAGCATAACCCGTAACCCTAAAGCCCAAAGCCTAAACCCCAAACCCTAAAGCCTGAACCTCAAACCCTAAAGCCTAAACCCTAAACTCTACACCCTAAAGCCTAAACCTCAAACCCTAAAGCCTTAACCCTACAGCCTAAACCTCAAACCCTAAAGCATACACCCTAAAGTCTAAACCAGAAAGCCTAAACCTCAAACCCTAAAGTCTAAAACCTAAAGCCTAAACCCTAAAGTCTAAACCCTGAAGCGTAAACCTCAAAATCTACAGCCTAAACCCTAAAGTCTTAACCCTACAGCCTAAACCCTGAAGTCTAAACCCGAAAGCCTAAACTTCAAACCCTAAAGCCTAAACCCTAAAGTCTAAACCCTAAAGCCTAACCCCGAGCTCTAAAGCCTAAAGCCTATAAGCCCCATTAAGGCTTAGGCCCTTAGCCCAGCAAAGGCGCCGACGCTCTCCGAAGTTCGTGTGGGCGGAGCATCGGGGCCCTGCTCAACCTGGATTTGGGTAGTTCTCTAAGGTTTAGGGGTTTAGGGGTTCAGGGGTTTAGGGGTTTAGGGTTCAAGGGTTTAGGGGTTTACGGTTCTCCAAGGCTTACCTTAACCCTGAATGGCCTAGCTTTTTAGGGTTCCTTATTATGGTTTCCTTAAAAAGGTAGGTTCTTCCGGGTTAAGGTAGGGGTTTAGGGTTCAAGGGTTTAGGGTTTAGGGGTTTAGGGTTTAAGGGTTCAGGGGTTTAGGGTTGAGTTCACGAGTCCCTATTTAGTCAAAAAGATCTATGAGGGAGTCTGTAGGGTTTCTAGAAGGCACTGCAAGGGTAGTTCTCTATCTTTGAGAAGGCCCGAAACTCAAAACTTCTGAGACTTAATCGGGGTACTTCTCCAGTTTAGAGTTTAAGGCTCTAACCCTAAGGGTTTAGGGTTTAGGGTTTATTACATAGGGGTACTTTCCCAAATTAAGGTCTGTAAGTCCCCAGAATGGTGCGGCATCCGTAGGAAAAGGACCCTCAAAGGAACCCTTCTAGCTCCTGTTCTCGCTGGCTGGTTTGGGTTTGAAGGCTTCTATCCACGGGTAAAAGGAGGGACCCTTAATAAGGGAGAAGAGGACGCTGCGGGAAACTGTTTTTGGATAGGTTCTTCTCTTCTCAAGTTTTAACGTGTTGAACCGACCAACCTGTTTTTGGATAGGTTCCCACATGTTCTCTTCCAAACTCTAACGGGTTGAGCCGGCCAATAGACATGGAATCCAAGATTTCCCGAAAAACTTTCTAGAGGTATCTTGGATCTTGGATTCCGGGGGGGGGGCTATTGAGGTTCAATCGCCGATATTTAACCTCAATAGCCCCCCCCCGGAATCCAAGATCCAAGATGCCCCTAGAAAGTTTTTCGGGGAATCTTGGATTCCATGGTTAGGGTTTATTGAGGTTCAATAGCCGATATGTAACCTCAATAGCCCTCCGCCCCGGAATCCAAGATTGGCCGAAAAACTTTCTGGGGACATCTTGGATCTTGGATTCCGGGGGGGGCTATTGAGGTTAAATATCGGCTATTGAACTTCAATAGACTTCAGCTGCCCGCTGCAGGTCTCTCGACTGCAATGTGGCGCAACTTGGAGAGTGTTAGTGTAACAGTATCGGGCTGCAACCTCCAGCATTCTGAAGTGCAGCAGCTTCTGGCCATGTCTAGCATACAACCTCCCAGATGGTGAGGGCAATGATGACAAACACATGTGCAGATTTCGGCTAAAGACAAGTCAAACACTGTAGCACAGCAACGTCTCACTCGTTTCACTGGCAGACATGCTGCCTTTTCAGGTATCAGGGAAAGCTATTGTAGATGGCCAGCGGGTTTTGCTATCGCTCGAGCCGGCAGCGGCCGCACCAGCAGAGCCATACCCACACACAGATGTATCGTCGCACCCAAACATCGAGGAGCTGATTAACGCCATCCATGCGGGTCGTGTGCCGGTCCATTCATCACGCCGACCCCTATCCAAGCAAGATCTACGAGTTATGATTACCAATACGCGGTACGCGCTTCGTATGAAGGAGGCCAGTTGGAATAAGGAAGCCGAGCTCAGACTACTCCGCACTTTGATGCAAAGCAAACGGTCTCGTGCACCCAACAACGCCAAAGCAATCAAGGACAAGGACTCCGCCAATGCCAAAGCAATCAAGGACAAGGACCCCCCACCCATTGAGGATGGCAAGTCCGAAGGTGAGAATCACCACAGCAAGGAGACCAACAATAAGGACGAGCACAACAACCCCTACCGCGAGACGGACGAGCACGAAAGCCTGGACTCGAATGCCCACAACAAGAAGGACGACCCCATGGACACGACCGGCGACAACGAGAACATGAAGAAGGACGAGGCCATGGACGAGAAGATGGACGCAAACACGAATGGTGGCAACCTCGGCAACAACCAGAACGGAAACACGTACGAAGACAATCGCATCACTGCGGTTGCTAGTGTCGACGAGATGGATGTTGACGAGGACGACTAGGAGGTGCCAATCAATGCGGACAACCACGTCGGAGATTCAGATTCCAGCTCTAGCTCATCATCTTCGTCGGCTTCGAATAGCAAAAGTGCTCTAAGGCAGCAAATCACGGAGCTGCGGCAGGATCTTCTTAAGTCACGAACGACTTGTTCATGGCCAACGAAGAGCTGGGCGTGAACCGCTGAAAGCCATAGCTCCGTGAAACAGATGGTATCAGAAAACTGGCAGAGTCAGAAAGATCGTGAAGCGTCCCGCGGCGGCCGTGAAACGTCCAGCCCGTGCGGGGTAGGATGCGTCTCACAGGCTTGTGTGTTAAGCTGTCCTTGATCGGACCCAATCGGATTGCATGTGTGATGCTGCCTGCATTCGTATGCAACAGACCAGTCTGTGCACTGACCAGAGTCGTGCTCGTATTGTGTATGTTGTATATGTCCCATGATGAAGTATCCAAGGACACCTGGCTGCATTGTGGACATGCAACTTGGAGGGTTTCTAGAGTTCTGGGCTAGTTTCGTGTGCGTTGTAGAGTTTGTCTTAGTTGTTCAGCCCGATCCATTAAAAGACTAGGTTCCCACAGCGTCCTCCTCCGTTTTCTTTTTTTGCGTGGTATGGGGCCTAAAGAAAACGCGATCCAAACACAACCCTAAACCCTAAACCCTTAAACCCTAAACCCTAAACCAAGATGTACAACCCTCAAACATTCGGTACTAGAATACCTAAGACGGTCAATGAACATAAGCACTATTGCGAACTATAAACCGCTCGTAGAAACCCTTAGAAATCCCTCAAACACGCCACGCACACACACAGAGACCCAAACCACATAATACACCGACCACATCCGAAACACCTTTGAGTCTCGCACTGCCAAAGGGGAAGCCCGCCAAAGGTTTCCAGCATCGGCTGCGGCAACGAGGATGTCTTTCTCCTGGCGATATAGGCACTAAATACACTAGGATTCCGTTAAGCATGTCGACTCCTGTATCACTTGCACGAGGTGCTTTTTGTTCAATCCTGGGCTTACAGGGGATTAAACTTAAAGGTCGTAGTGAAGGGATTGCTCAAAGGGTTTGTGGTTTAGGTGCTGCATGGTTTGGGGATAGGGTTTGGGATTCAAGGTTTCAAGGTTGATTTATTTAAGGTGTCTAGGGATTAGGCCCAGTTTCAATCTGCAGGTGCTCGTCCATATCTCCTCTCATCCTACAGGCACCGGTGGGTTCGAGATCCTCGTGAACCAAGGGCGTATAGCGTTGATGATGCAATAGAATGTACGGGAAATAATGTTATACCCATCTATGCGTGTGTGCACACATGCATGCATGTATGCATTCATGCATGCAGGAATGCAGGTATATGTGCGTAAGCGAAAACCGAAACCCAGCAACAAAACACCAATCCTGACGACTGAACGGAGCGTCATGTACGGGATTTTCTAGTTGGAAGAGGGTTTTGGGCCTTTTATAGTCGAACGACATTCAGGAACCCTGAGGAATAACAAAAATAAATAACGATAGATACATGTGTATATATACATATATATATATATGCACACATGCAGATAAAGTCATTGTTCAGGCCATGCATTACACACAGGCTTGGGAACCCTGCTTTTAAATTGAGCGACATGAACACTCCTGGGCTGGGGTTTATGGATTCTGGATACTGAGGCTTAGGATGTCAAGGCTTAGCAGCCTACTTAAGGGCTTAAGGGCTCCAAAGTTTAACAATGCAAAGGGCTTCAAGGGTTTAGGGTTAGGGTTTACGGCCTAAAGGCTTAGGAGTTTCGAGTTTAGGGATCAGCTGTCCCGCTTTGGACTCTCACACCCCTACAGTCTAAACCCTGCAATGACGTCCAAAGAAACTGCAACACGTAGCCAGGCAACCCTCAATCGTGGTGACCAGCCCACGCCCCACAGACTGGCAAAGGGGCCTACGGCGCAAGCCACAAAGGTACAACATCATTATCATCATGCCCTTAAGGTAACGTTTAAGGAATCGCAGCACTAATCATCCTAAGTCAATGTTCCAACGTTCTGGGATTCACTATAATTGAATAAATAGTTTCGGACTCAAACGGAAGCAATAATTTTTTTTGGGGCTCCTTCAGTGCCCTGCAAAGATTCCGTCAGTTACAACCTAAAGATCAAGGCTCCCCGGACAAGCCGAAACCACTAAACCGAAAACGGGAACCGCTAGGCATGTTTAGACTACACTGCGAGCTTATGATCTGTAAATGGTTCGTTGGTGCTCTCTGGAACAGCCCTCTGGTTCAGGATTTTGCAGACTGACCTCCTCCGACATCCAGCCATCGAACTTCAGCAGGGGAAACGGGGACCTTGTACGCAGCAATTGATCAATCAGCTTAGCATCTTTAAGACTTGGATTGTTGATCGAGGAAGATTGCTTCATCGGTTGACACCTCTGCGGTACTCTTTACACATGCTCCGGGGATGACCCTCAAGAATACTATAATGAATACTAATCGTTCAGGCTTCAAAAAGCTACTCTGAACCCTAGCCCGCAATGACTACCAACAGTACTAGCGAGTACTAGCGAGACATAGCGAGACTACTGTTGTGGCCTATGGGCGAGCCTGGAGGCTTGTGTTACAAGGGCTTGAAGTTTTCCTCAAACAGTATCGCTTCCTGCAAGATCAAGGTGCTGGCATAGCTTTCGGCCGAAAACGGTTGCAAACTCTGAATGCCTTGGGCCCAAAAACACAAGCTGTTTGGGTATGTACACCTGCATAACGGACTTCGGAGTCCCAAACCCCGAGTCCGAAATTTTGCAGCAAGGTAGAACACCAATCCGTGAACCTCCTCTGCAGTGCATGGTGAATCGGCAATGCTAAAGTGGAAGCTCCCTATACGCCACGACAGCACCCACACACAAACGCACATGCACAGACATACACACGCACAGACACACACACACACACAAACGAAATTGAAAACCTGCCGCCAGCCCGATGAAGTACATGCCCCCGACCCCTCCCCTAAACAAAAAGTTTCGACACCCTGACACCCGACCATGTACCGAATGCCTCTAATCCCGTCTGATTCTGGGCCTGCGGGCTGGCTAAGAACACTTTCCTGACAGGACGGGCCGGCGTTTTGGTTCATGGTATGGGAGTTGGGGTTCTGGACTGAGGGCCCACCTAAACGCCAACAAAACTTTCCGTTTAAATCAGCCATACAAGGAAAGCATACTTGGACAGGGCTTGAGGCTTGGAACTGGGGATCTGAGACGCAGGGGTTTAAGGTTTATATGGGTTTATGTAAGGCTTAGGGATAACCCTGAGGCCAACTTCCTCATAATCATATACTCTCCCAAACAGTATCCTATACTGCACATAGCTACTATCCGATACGCGAGTACCTCGTTATTGGGTCCCTTGGACCCTTATGGTAAGGCTCTGTCAAGAACTACTAAAGGGTTTGCTGTAAGGAATGCGATAAGGGTTGCCAGAAGTCTCGAGTCTACTGTTGCATGGTTCCGACAATTTTTGTGGCGAGATCGGGGCACGCAGGCTCATCCGGATGCTCGCAAGCACGCAGTGTTCTTGTTGATTTCGGCTCGACTTCCATGGTGAAGGGTATGTTGGTGAAGTCAAGCAAATGGGAGGACCAGACGGCACCAAGTGCGCACGCAGTTCAGTCACACAAAAAAACATCTCGGATCAGCTGCAGTTCGTTACGCAGATCTTTGGCCTCCTGCTTGGCTAGGATGGCCTCTGATCCGTGCGCTGGCCCAGGTCGAAGCCGAGCTTCGGGACCTGCTTCAAGGTGTTCACCAGCACCTGGCGCTGACATATCAGCAGCCAACACACTGAGCCACCAAAACAAGCGGCAGCTTCTGATCTTCGCGCAGCACGCAGGGACATAGATGTCCATGTCGCCGAGCTGCTTGCTGATCATAAGCATGCCTTTAACCTGAAATAACCCGGCCATGCACGCCGTGCTTCACATGTTCCAAACAAGTGCGCAGAAGTCATGAGACCGACCACTGAGACTGAAACATGCCCGTCACACAGAATAAAGCCGCGGCACTGAGCACCAGCGAAAAAGTGGCCAACCTCTCGAAGCAAGTTCAACCTACAGGAACACCACAAACACACATTTCCGGCTAGTTATTCATAGAAGGCAGCTCGCCTCTTCGCCAAGCCGCGGCCGATCAAGATCAAGCCGTCTAGGCGTCGATCTTCTTCTGCGGCCAGCGGCCAACGAATATAAGAACAAAAAGAGAAAGAGAAAGCCAAAGAGAAGGATAATTAAACAAACAGAGGAAGATAAAGAGAAAGAGACAAAGAGAGAGAGAGAGAGAGAGAGAGAGAGAGACAAAGAGACACGCACACACGCGCGCACACACACGAAATAGTTCATTTCTGAGCTTGCTGAAGCAGCTCGGCCAACGACGAACTGGCACGGCGTAAGTCGCTACCCATAGGTTGCTCATGGTTCTTCATGAAGCAGTAGTAGCCCGCGTGCAATTCCAAGTCCCGGAAGTACTTGCGCACCGCTGCCATGATCTGCATGGCCTGAATGGTGGACGTCTCGGGCAGTTCCTGGGGGCGGCGCAAAACATCGCACACAGCACGGTATGCAGGAGGCTGCAGGCCTGACCGTCGCAATGAATGTACACCGGCTCACGATATGGCCCGGTCAGCATCCTGTCGCGCAGAGCTTGCCAGACCCATAGATGTGCCTCACCAGGGCATCATCGTATCTGTTTCTGTCCGGCGAGATAGCTAAGGAGATCCTTTTGAAAATCCTTCCGGCCCGGATCGCATCCATTTGCGGTGATGAGATCATCGCGCTCACCTTGAATGTAGGTGCATAGCTTGGACTTGAGAATGAAATGCACAATGGTCTGCCATTCAGACCAGACCGTGCTTAAAGCGTTCCTGATTTCGTCTGTAGTGAAAGCCGCCCTGTGAGTTTGGAGGATGCAATTTCGCAAACCTCGCAAGGTGGCTTCCACCATGTAAAACCTTTGGTGTTTCAGCTCGGCTGGAGCAAAGCGAAAAATCGTGAGATGAAATCATTGCACAAATCGGAAGCTCTAGATTTTCCGGAGGAAAATCTAGAACGGAGCCCCTCATCATGACTGCATTGGACGGCGCTATGGTGTGAAGTCGCACCACTGACCTCACGTCGTCTCATTGGCAAGGCCTGGCGACAGATCATAAGGATTAGGACACGCAAGTGCGCGGTCCACGGTCCCTTCAACGTCAAGATTACAACGGCGGGAAGAGAACCCCTTGAGTTGAAACCGTTCGTAGCGCCATGCCTGCCTGATGCATGGCTTCTTTCTCCTCCATGTCCAAGTTATGTCCCCCTGTGCCAGGGTCTCATTCACGATGGTCTGAACTGTCTGCTGTTCGAATGGAAGGACGAGACGTGGAATCCGAGAGTGGGCTCCTGCCTCTTCCAGATCTGTACCATGCTCGCCATTTTCAGGTCACAAAGAGGCATTAGGCGGCGGAGTTGTTCCTCCACTTGGACACAATTGAAATTCGGTTGGGCTATGGTCTCCATTGAAATTCTGGTTTTCGGTTGACCGACAGGATGGTTAGGGTCCTAGAAAACGCGAAGACAGGCTCCGAAACCATCCCTTCAGCCAACACCCTCAATCAGTTGAACCTTGGAAATCAAGACCTCAGCATGTCTGCGTGCTCAAGCTACACCTACGCCCGGCGCTCCAAAGCAGTCATCAGACTCTTACCCGAAAGCCTGCAACGCTGGCCCGTTTAAGACATGTAAGAACAACTACAAGTGCCAAGATCGCTCAAAAAGAATGATACCTGACATAACTGTATATATGTATATAACAAAACAACTAATCAATGAGGAATATGATTGACAGCATAGGTTCATAATGGAATCAGAACAAGAATCAGACTACTGACTTATAGTACTATTAGCTTCTGTTTCCAATAAGAGGATCTCATTTGGGCCGGCATCGTCTGAAGACGTTTAACAGTGTTTTGAAATTGCGCTACTACAAGGACTTTGGAGAACAAGCCATAAACAGCCTCACAGACTCTGTAGGTTCTTACACTCAACATGTTCGTTACATTCCAACAGCCTCCCTGCGAACCGCAGGCATACCGGACAATGCAGGTGTCATGCCCGAAACCCTAAACCCTAGACCATTAAACCCCAAACCCCTAAACCCTAAACCCCTAAACCCCTAAAACCCCTGGACCCTAAAACCTGCACCTTGGAACCTGGAACCTTCTTCACGAATCCTTCGACCCACAGCCTCAATGCTGAACCCTGAACCCTACAACCCAAACTCGACCCTTCAACTGGGGCGATGGCAGGAAGAACATGCATTCGTCGCTCCAGGGCCTCACAGATGTTGGTGTTCATGCCTAGTTACGAGCTCGTAGCCTCATTGTTTAACATGTGTCTATATATATATATATATATGTATAGATGCGTATGTAAATATATATATATATATATATATATATATGTAGCTGTATGTATGTATGTATGTATGTATGTATATAAATATATACATATTATTGCTAAAAAATACAGTATATACACATATGATATATATATATATATATATAGAGAGAGAGAGAGATATGTGCGTATGTACAGACGATGGATCTAGATAGAGCTATTTAGTATCATGGTGATGACTGCCGTTTGTCTGGTTATCGTTAATGAATTGTACTTGCCCCCGTCAATACTCAAGCAGGCTCTATAGGGGCGTTATCTAGCCTTCGCAAAGTCTTTCAAGGGTTGTCGAAACGGCTTGTTGTACTGTACTCCGGCTCGACGCAGGTAGATGGCAAGCTGACAAGTAGTCAGGAAATAGCAAAGGCGGATCAATGACGTATAAACTACCAATATAGGACAAGTCCACAAAACCATGTAACCAGTTCATATCACCAAAGACTTCAAGCGACAAACCAACAAAGTAACAAACTACAACTTAAAGCACCAGAGCCCTAAAATACGAGACTCTCAGGCCCACTTTACACAAAGAGGGCTGATATGCAGATCCCCCTAAGGAAAGTAAGGTTTCGGGTTTAGGAAACCCTAGACCCTAAGCCAAGAGAGCCGGTTCTCCATTGCTAAGCGAAGGCATAAAGTTCATATTTAGGAAATCCCGCATCCAGTGTTCAGGGGCTTGCCTAACCCAAGGATCTGCAGAAATCAGACTGTTAACTCCTGACAGACATGGAGACATTATTTTGCTTGGGACTATGTCTGTACTTCGAACCCTCGGGGTATTGGTTTCGGACTGATGGCTTTTCTAGTGTCACGCTTGCGAAATTTTCGGGTTCTAGGTTACCCAGTAACCTAACAATAAAAAAGGCCTCTCTTTTTGGTATTGGGGAACTTTATAAGGAACCTAGGACCACAAAAAGGGAATAAGGGTACTACCGGGCATCCCAGGGTTTCAATGTGAGCCAATGTGAGCTTACACTCTGCTTGCTTGGGTCCTTCACGGAACTCGCGAACTCATCAACACCTTGCGGCAGCCTTATTATGGGAAAAGAACAGTAAACACGCCCCCAAAGAAACCCCCCGAAATGAAACACCCGCAACCGCCGAGACCCAGACACAGAGTACTGCTCCTCCTTAGACGCCTTATGCCCTGTAGAGGAGCCATGATCCAGTAACCTACCATGCAGATAACTGGGCTCCCCAGGTGAGAGGAGAAGGTCCGTCCTGAATCCGAAACTTCAACCCATCCAAACACCTATGTTCCCGCGCTAGGCTATTACCCTAGAACTGTGGGTGGGGGCGTCTACGTACCTAGAAGCATGTGTACTGACGTTTTGCGACCCAACGTGACCACAAGTGTCTATGCTCATGCAGTTGACCTAAGGTAGCTACCCAGAGAGCCCAATACCCTTAATTAAGGAGTATACCTTAAATCATTAGGGGCTTCATATTATGATTTAAGCTATCTTCCTTAAATTAGTGGCTATTGGGCCCTCTGGGTATTGGGTACATGGGAGCCTCTTGGGTGTTACTGTTTAGGCACACGGAATGTCAGGGAGTGGGTTCAGGGATTAGGGTAGTAGGATCTGCGGGTCAGATTGTAGGAGCTTTTCTTATATTAATGTGGCCATCGACGCTGGTTCAGAGCAGCTAAGCTGAGAGAACCTGGCGTTAGCGAGAGCTGATGGTTTAGGATTAGCAGGACTATCGGAGCAAGAATTGGGCTCACATTCTCACCCCCCGTCTTACCGGGTCGCAGGCCTTCCAAACCGCCGTGCTGCTGGCACTGCATGCCTGGATATTTCGTTTCCGATTTATCTCGAGGGTCAAATTGCCCACCAAGCAGCAGTCGAAGGCAGCGCTACAGGTATCCGCGTCTACACACAGGAGAACGAAGACTATGCATATGCATGGATATGAAAAACATCGGAAAGAACGACTACGCTGGCTACGTGTCAGCGTTATGCTTAGCCCGGATACTAGGTTCCTATGTTAACCATGATATCTCTTCTTAAACCTAAACCCTAAACCTCTGAACCCTAAAGCCCCAAACCCTAGAGTACACCGTTCATAACTTTATATGGGTAGTTGTCAAAATTAGGGTCCCTTTTTGGGTACCCTAAATATCAGGTGCCGTATTATAATAAGGACCCAAAAAGGGACCCTAATGTTGACAACCACCCATATGACTAAGTTCCCTGCTCCTCGAAGCGGGAAGCCCCTGTGTCCCAGGAGCTGTACAGAAAGGCTATGGGCCGCCAGCCCCAGGCCATCTCTATGAATCCATACCATAATTTAGGGTTTAGGACAAAGCTTAGGGTTTAGAGTATACCAGTTCCTTAGAAACTCTAGAAGTCTTTCTTTGCTGTGATTTCCTGACATACTGTTGATGATATAAATCCTGCGTGGCCCATAATAAGGAATATACCCCACTTATTCTGGGTAATGCAGGGTTTATATCATCAACCGTACTTCCTTAAAGCTGCAGGTTTGTTGCAGGTTAAGGGAACCCCCGACTCCTCAACCAGGAACTCGACAGCCTAACGCCTATAAGCCCAATTAAGAGGCTATAGTAAGCCCCAAAAAGTTTCGAAACCGGGTTAAGGCCAAACAGTGCTTGGATTCCCTATGCATTAGTCTTAGGGATTGAGGCTATTGGGCTTCCAACTTTTGGGCTTCTACTGTAATGTTTCAGGGTCTAGGGCTTGCCGATGAAGGGAACTGTTTAGGACAGGAGGGTTTAGGATCCAGAGTTCAAGGGCTCAAAACACATTATCTAGGGCTTGCCTTCTCGCTTTACAGACCCAAAACAATAAGCCCCTCATAGAACCGCTACTAACTATATAGTTTGGCACATACCTTGAGAACCCGTATAGCACCTAAACCCCCCTACAGACCTTTAATCCTAAAGCCTCAGAGCGTTTGAAGGGCTCTTGTCCGTGTACTATAGGGCTCTCAAAGGATGGTTTCTCGGACCTCGCAGAAGTTTGGAGGGCGCTTGAAGCATGTGGGTGGTTGTCAATATTAGGGTCCCTTCTTGGGTCCTTATTTTAGTACGGCACCTATAATATTTGGGGCACCCAAAAGGGGGACCATTATTTTGACAACCACCCATGTAGTATGCTCAAGGGAATTGAAATGGTTTGGTCAGTATCACTGTTTCGCGGTTTTACGGATGTAAAGTGTATGGCGCCATGATGAGGTTTTGGGCTTTCCACCTGCAGAACAGCCGTGGTGACAAGCGAACAGGAGCCCTAGGGCGTACCTTGATCTACTATTGCACCTGTTTCTGTAGGGGTCTTGGTCTTGACAGCGGCCATGATATGGGTGGTTGTCAAAATCATGGTCCGTTTTTCGCTACCCTAAATATTAGGTGCCGTAGTATAAACTAAGGACCCAAAAAAAGTGACCCTAATTTTGACAACTACCCACATTTAGACTTTCGGATCACCCTACAACAATGTACGGGTTCTCGGAAGTCACGGTCGGGCTGTGCAGACCCCTAAACTTGCAAGCCCTGACCACCAACCCCGAAGCCCAGATCCCCAGCCATAATGTTTTTTTTTGTTTTTTAAGGGCTCCTTCTTGTATGGTTTAGGGTTTAGGGTTTAGGGTTTAGGGCCTAAATGGGAGTTTCCGAAAAGTAGGGGTACCTTAGTTCGGGGTGTTTGTAATAAGGACTTAGGGTAGTATCTCAAAGTCCCCTATTTTCGGAAACCCTCAAATGAAGTAGAACAAGGTTTTGGGGGCTCCTTGTTATAATTATGGTATAATTTCCTCCCCAAACCCTGCTCGAAATATCGAGGCCCCTTTCGTGCCCTTGAAGCGTAACTTCTCAGACTGCTTCAACGAACAACGACACAGTGGAGGATGGCATCGGGCACTGCGCTGCGAACTTTAGGCTTTCAGCTTTAGTTTTATTGGAAGGCTGAAAATTTTAAATGCATGATCTGTTTTTTAAGGTTCATGTAATAAGATAGTTGAAGCCATGGCTCATGAACAGGCAAGTCTGCAGGGGAAGTTGGCACTCGTCGCTAACTGTCGCTTCGTATCTTCTGTGGGCCGAACGGGATTTTATGAAGAGTAAAGTATAAAAAGTGAGTATCTTGTAACGGCTCGGACCCCCAGACACATGTAAGCGTATGTGCATGTCAGTATACATGTACAGAAATGTTGTTCCCAAACCCTGCCTGGATAGGAGGATCTCCAAAAACATCCAGCTGCGCGTGCCCGGCGCTTGCACAGGCCTCAGGGCTTAATCAATTAGGACTTATAGTGTGGTTTTATCGTGTAGGCCTTTGCGGTCCGAAACCCAAAGCCTAAACCCTGACAGTTCTCGTCTTGGGTTCATTTCGAACCTGACGTTGACGACCAGGTGCACCAGCGTCCCTAAGTAAACCTGAAAACCTTGTATAGCATCTACTTGGCTGCATGTTTGGAACCCGGAGACACACCCAGCTTTCGAAAGATGGTGAGCACGTGCAGGGGCAGCACTGTATGACTCGGCCTTCTTAATTCCCAGGATCAACTCTTGACAACTGCTACCTGGCAGCTGTTTCGGTTCTGATCTTGCTATTGCACGACATACACACATATGATGATGTACATAGCCCATCATCACACATGTGGATGCCAAAGTGTGTACACGTACGCTTACACATCTACATCTACCGTGTGCATGTACCGGGTTAACAACCCGACTCCCTAACCTTGAAGTCATTAAACAAACACTCTATAAGCCCTAACCACACCAAATAAACAAAACAACAACATATACACGCCCCTACAAACTTTCTTCTGAATCCCTGAGACGAACGCATAAATGAAACCCTAGAACCCAAGCACGCCTAAACCTTGAACCCTAATCCCTAAACGTCCGAAGCTCTCGGAATCCCGGGCTCCGTTCTGTGGGCCCTGACCCATGCAATGCGCCGCCAGGACTCCTGCATGTATTCCCAATGGAAGGCCCTGTGTTTCCAATGATTGGCTCTATTGTCCTCAGAAAAGTTTTCTGGTTTTACAAGAGGGTTGTACGGTAGAAAGGTTCTATTCTATACTGGTATTAATCACTCGGAATCTTGCTACCAGGGTTCATCGGAATTCTACATCCTTATCCGCCAGCGAAATTCGATGGAGCACGCGCAGGAAGACGACGAACTGCTGTCAAACCTGTCAGCCCGACTCTAAACCTGAAACCCCCTTCCACCCTAAACCCTACTTAGAGGATCATGGGACTTAAGTAGGTTATAATTGGGGTTATAAGTCCCCTAAGTGGGGTTATCCTAATTATAACCTACTTATAACCTTACTTACTAAGTCCCATGAGCCTTCAAGTAATTCCTCAGGGAGCCAGAGCCTTGATGATCCCTCGGATTCTGCTGTTCAGATTGGGGGGCCCCACATCCCTCGCCTCCCTGCCCTCGACCCACTGCAGCCCATTAAACAGGGCTTGGAACCCCAAATCTGAAGGCCCAATACCTTAGAAGGGGCCCCCACCCTGCATGTAATAGTGACCATGAGTGGCGCACCGGCAGCTCTTCGCTCTCATTCCACTTGGGCTGGTAGCTGGACCGGAGTTTTGCAGGTTTCTGACTTTGCGAGTCGTCCATTTCAGTTGGTCTGGCCAGCTGGGCTTTTTGAATCTGGCCGGGTGTCTGTCTGTCAACATTACCCCGCTGCCACAACCATCACTGTTGCGACGGTGTATGGCTACCCACAAGGCCCCTCTTGGCCTGATGCACTGCCTAGAACGGATTCCATGCTTCAGCCGTTGACTAAACAGGTGGTTTTAGGAATGAGAGGAGTCAGATTGATACTGGGCGACTTCAATCACGATGTGGACTCTTTAGAACAATGTGCTGTTTGGCGAGCAAATGGATGGCAGGATGCACAAACCCTTGCCACCCAGCTCTGGGGCCAAGAACCCCGACCCACCTGTAAGCACGCCACGTACAGGGATTTTGTATGGCTGTCTCCTGAGGCAATTGCCCTGTGCTCGCAAGTTGACGTTTTGGATGTGTTTCAGGAGCACTCTACTGTAATCGCCAAGCTCCGCCTGCCTGATGTATCAGTTCCGGCTTGGACTTGGCCACTTCCCGCAGAAATCCCTTGGGCGGAGGCTTCTATTGCCTCCTGGCAAGAGGTGGGGCAGCATGATCCGATTGAGTCCGAGGATTCTGATGTGTGGTACCGACGCTTTGGCCACCAATTCGAGCGCAGCCTCCAGGGCTTCATCATCCACACGCCTGGAGGCCAACTTCCTCGCAATGCTTTTGGCCGTGGCCGTCGACAACAGCCCCAGCAACATCAGGCTGATCGGCCCCCCATTAGTCCGAGCCGTCCAGGCGAGGAGGCCATGCGGCATGATGGTCTCTGCCTTGAGGTAAAGAGATGGTTTCAACAGCTTCGCCGCATCCAATCCCTACGACATGCTGTCCATGCTGCCAATGTCAGTCCACAGGCTTGCGAGTACCGAGTGTCCCTCTGGCGATCAATTCTTCGTGCACGAGGGTTCTCGGGAGGTTTTGAGGCTTGGTGGGCCAATCGACCCGCCCGCATCCTAGGCGGGCTACGGTTCCTGGTGCGAGGGAGGTTAGCCTGCTGTTGGATGACTTTCGACTTAACTATCGCAAATTTGAGGATTGGCATCTCCGCCAGAAGCTGCGCATTGTGGATTCTAGGTATGAGACCAACATCAACCAGTTGTATCGCGAACTGAGGGAGCCTGCCCCTTCCCAGGCCGACACACTCACCATCACCACAACACATGCCATTTTGGCTGTTTCTGAGGATCGCTGTCAGGTGCAAGTTGAAGGTGAGCCCGATGCTCGGGGTTCGTCCTTCTGGCAAGTGGATGGCGTGCCAGTCCACATTACCAAGACTGAAGAAGACGTCTGCACCCTGGCGGCTCCCTTGCAAGCGCCAGACGGGCATGAACTTGAGCAGGTACAGACGCTCTCCTCCGTGTCCGATCTTCATTATGAATTCAAAAAGCTCTGGTCTTCCCGTTGGGGGGAATTTTCCTCGATCCCTGCCGAAGCCTGGGATCGCTTCTTGTCTTTCGCTGCGGCCTACATGCCTCGTTGTTCCTTGGAGCTTCCTGCCATTACTGTCCCGGTGTGGCGCCAGGCAATCCGTCGTTTCAAGCCTCGGGCTGCCCGAGGTCCTGATGGCTGGGCTAGGCTGGACTTGCTGCACATGCCAACTGAAAGGGTCTTGCAGCTCTTGGCTTTCCTTGCCGAAATTGAAAACTCCAGGCGCCCTTGGCCAAAACAACTCTTGATGGGATTTCTGTGCTTGCTTAATAAGCAGAATGGGCGGACTGACACGCAGGCCTACCGCCCCATTTGCTTGTATTCGGTAGTGTACAGGGCCTGGGCCGGTATTCGTGCACGCCAGGGATTGCGCTTGCTGCGCACGCATATATCGCATGGGCAACACGGTTTTCTGCCGGGCCATTCTGCGATGGATCTCTGGTACACCATGCAATGCGAAATTGAGCTGGCCATTCAGGAAGGCTGTCCCATCTTAGGCTACTGCACAGACATAGTGAAGTGCTTCAACGCTCTCCCTCGCCTCCCTCTCCTTGCATTGGGTGCTCAGCTTGGACTTCCGTGGACTCTGATTGGGCCCTGGGCTGCATTTCTCCAGTCCACTACTAGACGGATCCTGATTCGAGGACACATTGGAGAGGCCATAGCCTCCACCAGAGGCTTCCCCGAGGGGTGCCCGCTTAGCCCTTTGGCGATGACGTTGGCAGATTGGGCTTATCATGTTTACATGAGGGTTTTTGCACCGTCTGTGCGGGCCCTCACATACGTAGACAACTTCTCGTGCCTGGCCGAAAGCCCCGGTTCAGTAGCGAGTGCGGTGCAGACCACGACATGCTTTACGGACATGCTTGGCCTTGAACTGGATGCTGCAAAGTCCTACGTTTGGGCTACGGATCCTTCGGACCGCAGGGGTCTTTCCGGGTTGGGGCTGCCGGTGCTGGAATCTGCACGGGAACTGGGTGGCCTGTTCTCTTTTGTGCCAGCTACACGAAACCGTCTGCTCCGTGACCGATGCTCGGCCCTTGACTCTTTGTGGGCTTCTCTTCGTCGCTCTCGGGCTCCACTCTGGCAAAAACTTCGTGCATTGTCAGGTAAGTGCTGGCCCCGGGCGCTCCATGCGATTTCGGGTTGCCCTCTAGCGGATGCCGAGCTCGGCAGGCTGCGCGCCGCTGCCACCGGTGCACTGCGCATCCGCCCAGCTGGATCAAGTTCTATGCTGAGGCTCTCCGTCCTCGGTGATTGTGAACAGGATCCGGGGTTCTATCAGCTTTGGGCTTGCGTTCGGGACATCCGTCGCATGGCCTCCTCTTCTGCCAGCTTGCTTCCAATGTGGACTCGCTTCATGCGCTCTTTCCAGGGTCGGCTGCGACATGGTCCATTCTCTAAGCTTTTGCAGGTCCTCGGACAGATCGGCTGGCAGGTTCTTGATCCTCCTTGGGTGCAGGATGGTGAGGGTTTGCGGCACCATCTTCTTCAGATGCCGACTGCTTTGTTGCATCGTCTGTTGGAGCATTCATGGCTGCAGTTTGTGGCGACACAACACTGCCACAGGCAGAGTATGCACGATCTTCTAAGCCTTGATGCCCCACTCCTTCGGGCTGACCTTTCCTCATTGACGGCACTTGACACTGCCAGACTTGCTGCCATTCGCTCCGGGGCTTTCCTCTTCGGAGCACAGCATGCGAAATACGCCCCGACCGCGGAGTTGTGTCGCCACTGTGGAGTGCCAGACACGGTCAAGCACCGTCTTTGCCAGTGCCCACGGTTCCATGATCAACGTGCAGCGCACACCTGGATCGTGCAAGCCTGGGATACTCTCCCTTGTGCCCTTACGCACCATCTGCTTCCGGCGGCGAACCCGCATCTCCCTGAGTTCAGGCGCTTGCTTTCAGAGGTGGTTGATGTTTCGGGGGTCTTTTGGAGTACAGGGTCTGGCACTTCTTGGCATCATCTGTTCACGGACGGAGCGTGCCAGAACTCCGAGGCACCCGAGTTTGCTTTGGCCGCCTGGGCGGTGGTTTTGGATGATGGCCGGCCGGTGTCCAGTGGACCCGTCCCCGGATTACTGCAGACTGCTCCCCGGGCTGAGCTTTGGGCTTTGATCTCAGCGGCGAAATTTGCTCTCGTGAATGCGGTGCCGTGTATGGTCTGGTCAGATGCGCTCAATGCTGTGGACGGCATAAAGGCTTGGCAATCGGGCCAAGAGCTTCCCCAGGACAACGCGGACCTCTGGACGTACTTGGCCGAGCTTCTTGACCAGCTGCCACAGGAGGTCTTCCAGGTTTTCCATGTGCCATCTCATCTGGATCGGACTTTGACCGAATCCCCATTTGAAGATTGGGTACAGTGTGGAAATCAACATGCGGACACTTTGGCGGTCTTGACGAATGCCAACCGGCCGACTGATCTTCAGCAGGTGTTGGGCAGAGCCTTGGATTATCATGGCCTCACGCTTCGGGCGCTCCGCTCGCTTCGGGCGATGTACTTCGGTATTGCGGCTGCAACTCTGGGAGATCGCCATGATGGAAACTCCGGCATCGAGGCTGCGGATGAAGACGTTCGTGATGAGCTACCCGCAGTCGCGAGGGTACTGGATCTTGAGGAGTGCCTTCCCGTCAACTGGCAATCTGTGGCAACAGCGGCAGCGGCAAGCTTTCCTACAGATTTTGTGCAGGATCTTTGTCGTTTTATGTTTGTACAGGATGCTGAGTCCGAACAGGCCCACAGGATCTCTTGGCTTGAGGTGGTTTTCATGCTTCACTGTCGTGGTGGTTTTGTTTATCCGGTTCAGGGATCACAGGGTTCCTGGTTGTCGGCCAGCACACAAGCTTTTCTTCCAGCCCCGCCCAATGTGGCTACGCGGCTGTACTTAGTCCGGCAGGCCCTCCGCAGTGCTTTTCAGGGTTTGAGGCTCGACGCTGTGTTCGTTAGGGGTCTGGATCTCACCGAGCTTGGGGTCAGCTTTTTGATGGACGGCTTGATTGTTGGGGTCGATGCCTCGCTCCTTGGATCGGCAAGGGAGTGCCTGCGGGGATTTTGTTGCGGGCGGCGGGTCGGGGCGCTTTCGGCTCTGGCCCGTCCGCTGCTTGCTTAGCCCACCGACGGACGGAGACTTTACGCGCCGCACTGCATTGCTGTGCGCGCGTGCCAGAGCCAGAGTGAGAAAAAAATAGTGACCATGAGGATTATATAGGATTATATTAGGGCCCTATTATATTCCTATTATACCACTATTACAGGGTGGGGGCAGCTTCTAACCAATACCCCTTCATTAAGGAATAGACCTGAAATTATAAAGCGGCTTCAATATTATGATTTAGCTTTTTTTCCTGAATTAGGGGTATTGGGCTCTCTGGGTCATTAAGGAGTATTGCCTTAAATCATCCTCCGGATGACTATGCTTCTCAATTAACGGGGCGTAGGCAATCCTGAAACCATTGCCGTGCAAACAAAAACATACAAAGCTCTAGCCTAGCAGTTCAGGATTTGGTCCCGGGGGCGAGGTGGGGGGCCCAACCCAAAAACTCTACCTGCAAGACAAACCAAACAAGCCCATGTACAGTAAACAACCCAAAAACGTTCTAAAGGCCACGAAACCCCAACACCCTGAAACTCCAAACCCGCTAAACCCTAGCCCGATACTGTAGGCCCTAGATTTCTAAGCCCAAACCCAGCAAACCTAAAGCCGTGAGCCCAAACCTCAAGCCCTATACACAGTGACAACGAGACTCAAAAAACCAAGCCGTTTGAACCCTGTCGGCCCTACTGTTTCCCCACATAACCTACCCATGTAAGGACTTGTATAAGGAACATATGATAGGTAGCTCTAAACATGTAGGTCTCTTAGGGTCCAGGTGAACTCTATAGGAAACTCCAGAAAGTTGGAATATGGTTTCATGGTAGGATACCCTATAATTTACCATAGAAGGGTTACGATAATCATATTCCAACTTCTGGCTTTTACTTTATGACCCGAGATGCATCTCTCAGTCTGGGCACCTCGGAAGAATTCGCTCGCAAAGCTTTGGCGAGACTGCCGGCGGCAGCAAAAGCGGCTGCCTTCCAAGCTCGCGGCGAGGATTCCGGCCAACCCTTCTAGGGCGCAGCTGTCCTGGGGAGTCATGTAGGGGCCTTAATAATTAGAATTCAAAATTATGATGAAATAGGATCCCTGAAGAAGGATTGGTAATTAAGGCCCCTATAGTACTGCCACATGAAAATTATGACCCAAGGAACACAAACAGGCCTCCACCTGAAGTGTGTGGAGTGTGGAATTAATGGAGTGTGGAATTCTGACCGAAAGCCTTATGCAACCACAGGCAGATCAAGTTCAGCAGTTCCTGCATAACCCTCAAACCCCCGAAACTCTTCGAACCCCTGAAACGTAAATCTGCAACCATAAACGCAAACGTTGTATAGGTTAACTCCTTTGCCCTAAGGGTCCATGTATCCAAATACTATACACGCTGGCCTTAAAGTACTCCCTAGACAATTGGGCCCGGAGTATATATAGTATTTGGGTACCTGAAAGGAACCCTTAAAGGAACCCTTAAATGAACCCTTAAAGGAACCCTCAAATGAATCCTTATAGGAACCTTAACTTAAAGGAACCCTTAAATGAACCCTTAAAGGAACCCTCAAATGAATCCTTATACAAACCTTAAAGGAACCCTGAAAGGAACCCTCAGAAGCAGCCCAGCCTCCCCTTCCACGCCCCGAGGTGCCGCCAGGGTCAAGGCGGAGACTATCCGGGCGAGGTCCTGAAATGTTATTTGGAAAAGGCTCAAAGTACCTTAACCTACCAGAACCAACTTTTTTGTAAGGTTCATATAAATTCCATACTAGGGTTAAAAATAAGAACCTTCAGAAAAGTAGGGTTTGGTGGGTTGAGGTAGAAACCTGATCAAGAAACCATGAGTCTTTATTAGGGCTCTTTGCATGGATCCTGATATGACGGGGTTATAGGACCGGGGTTCTGAATCAGGTTGCTGCATTACCGGTTTAGGGCTTAGGTTTTAGGGCCAACTAACACAGCTCTTTACGGAGGGTTTCCGGGGTTTCGTGTTTTGTGGGGTTTATGACTCTACAGTACATCCCATAAAGTTGGAACCCGGATTAGGGCCAAATAGTGCTGGGATTCCCCATATTTTACTCTTCAGGATTGAGGCTATTGGGTTTCCAACTTTTGGGCTTCTACTGTAAGGGCTCTAGAAGAGAGCTACTAGGGCTGTCTAGTGGCGTATGCGGTCCTGCGGGGCCTCCCGGGGCTAAGCTTACGGTTCCCCGAAGGCTCCATGTACCCATATAGTATATACTTTGGCCTTAAAGAACCTATATAGGGACTACTTTGGGGCTTAAGTGTCTACTATAGCGGTACATGGAGCCTTGGGATTCTTGTACGAAGGCATTTTACAAAGCTCTATGGACCTGCCAGGGCTTGATGAAGGTGTTTCAATGGGTTTAGGGTTTAGGGGTTTACGAAAACCACCCGGTTTTTGTAGAGTTAAATCTTGCTGAACAACCTCAGATGTACCGCATACACTTACATAACATAACCTCTACACTAGGGTTTACACAAGGTCGCTGTGTCGACACTCTGAACCCATGCTGAACTTAGACTAAGGACTATTGTAACCCCTTAAGATCCATTTCTAAGTACCCCTGAGGAACCCTCACCCGCTGCAGCTGAACTCCCGTCCTGGAGGCTCTGCTGGTGACTGGCATGGCTTTGGCCAGTGAGTCCTTAAAGATCTGGCCAAGGGTTGAAGTTTAGGGTTTAATTAGCGTTTAGGGTTTAGGGCTCAGGGTTTAGGGTTCAGGGTTTAGGGTTTAGGAAAAAGGGCTCAGGGTTTAGGGTTTCTAGTCTTGGGCTGACTAGAGAGCTTGCAGTGACTAGTGGGTGCATGGATCCCAGGCGCTGCAAAGAAGTTCCAGATGTTGCGCAGTGTGTAGCAGCACTGTCTTCATTCATTATATCTATCCCTAACCCCTAAACCCTAAAAACAACACCACGGTAAGAGGACGTGGGCTTCAAGCAAACGTCTTGGTTCTACAATTAAAATCACACAACATGATGACCAGGAATGAAAAACTACACAAGACAAGCACTGTTTGCGGGCCTTCGGAATTATGCAGACGCCTGTGTTAAGCCTCACCTTCACCCAATAACTCTTTGAGAAGTATAAAGCAACAACAATCCAGAACATGAAACCCTAAACCCTGAATCCATCAAAACCAACAACAAAAGGTGTTCTACAGCTCAGGAAAACCAAAAACACTCATAGGCTCAGGCTGATCAGGCTTAGCAGCGCAAGTCCCAACTCACCACTGCGCTACCCATAAACTACATACCCAGAGACTCCAATATCCCTTAACTAAGGAATATTCCTTAAATTATAATAGGATCCCTAATAAAATTTAAGGAATATTCCTTAATTAAGGGATATTGGAGTCTCTGGGTACGGGTTTGCGGTTTAGGGTTTAGGTTGGCCCCCTTTACAGTCAGGATCCCGTAACCGCATTGCAAAACATGCGGTGGCCAACACAACAACAACTGCAAATGAGACGACAAGTAAAAGCTTACAGAACCGATTTAGACAGCCGTTTCCAGACCCCCTAGGAAAGGATGGTGAGACTTGGTAACTAGCGTTTCAGGAGACCTGATAACTAGGGTTTCAAACGAGGCGAGTTAACTTGTCATTTCTTGTAATAATATCAGACCAGTTACAATGCTTGTAAGCTTACTTACTAAGTCCCCCGATCCGTTGAATACAGTCAACTCTGAACCAGTCTCCCGCGCTGTCAGCCCAAGATGTCAGAGAAATATTGCCCAACGACTCCCAAGTACGTAAACATGTCGGAGTATAACTTAGGTTTACAACTACTAGTTACTAGTACAGCAGCTCGTAACTATTGTGCATACCGTTGTCATTCGAGGTATGTCGCGTAGCTTCTGAGGGAGCCTTCCACATGCATGCTGCAAGGGCCGCGAACCGATGCAGGGGCAAACCCAAATCTTGAATCGCACTTTATACTACCCGCCCAAACCCAAACTAACCGTAAGCTCTAAACCAAAAACTAAGCCCTGTACCACTGAAATTGAAATTCGGTGCCGGCATCAGTGGTTCAAGAAACCGACGTCATCACTTGGCTTCCGTGCGGTCGTAGGTGCGCCGTAGGCGAGAGGCCATGCCGGAAAACTGCGTTGGAGGCTTTGATCTTTGGTGGTTCAAGCAAGTTTGTATTGTTGTTATGAGGTTTGATAGGGTCGCATACTATTACACGGTGAACTGGAGGCCTAGCACAAAGCAAGACATCACTCGAGAGAACTTAAGCTGACCTAAAACCCTAGGTTCAAGCTTGAGGCTTTGCGCGGCTAAGGCTACAACGCCCCACTCTAGGATTGGGGTCGCATGGTTTAGGCTTATGGGGTTTAGGGTTTAGATGGTAGGCTTTCAGGGTCACGGGTTTTAGGACTGACAGAGTACTGAATCGAAATTAAAATCTGAACGCGTAGTTACCGTAATTACATACGCTAGAAGCCAGAAAGCTGGAATATGATTATCCTAACCCTTCGATGGTAAATTTTAGGGTATCCTACCATGAAACCATATTCCAACTTTCTGGAGTTCCCTGTACCTACTTGCAAAGTCAACAGGTCCTCCAACTCTATACCGGGTGCCCAGCACCCGTCAACAAAGGAATACTGATCAAACTACGCAGCTCTACTTTCCAAATCGAAGCTGACCAATCGCCCCCGGTTTCTGAGCAAGCAGATGCGGTCTGAGATATAGAACTCAAAATCCTCCTACTTGGAGGTTCATGGGTAGTCGTTGTAAGTGGGGTTATAAGTAGGGTAACTATATTATAACTAACCCAAATTTGGGGACTTCTGACCCTACTTATAACTACCCATGAACCTCCAAGTAAGAAGGGGGTTAGAGTTAATTGACTTGGTAGTTGATGGTAATTCTACGTATACTTACCTCATTTAAAGTCCCATGCGCACCCTAGGCCATTTAAGATCCCTTCAGGAATCCCTTGAAGAATCCTTTAAGTTACGAAGTGACGCGATCCTTTAAGGCCTCCGAAACCCCAAACCCTAAACGCCTGAACCCTATACCAACAAAAATCCTACCATAATCCTGTAAAAGTGCCTCCTGCAGCTCTGCTTCCATAGCACACCGGGCTGCCTGACAGTTGCCCCAGACACTCCGAAACTCCCCTAAACCCTAAACCCTAAACTCCCCAAACTGCTGGATTGAGGAACCTATCTGGAACTGCAAATGGATCGTGAACATGATCTAAGGTATATTCAATAAGGAATACACTTTCAAACATGACAAGGGTCCCTTTATGCTTTCAGGCTACTGCCGTAATCAAAGGAATTGGAAGTATTTATGTCAATGTGCCCTTGTGAGGCATTGGCTAAGTTCCGGGAGAGATGCGGGTTGAAGGCTCAGGCTTCACCCTAAGGTAAGAAGTATGATCCCCGAATATGGACCCTTAGACCTTTTTGAGGGAGTTCTAGGGACCCTCAATAGTCTATATAGGCTATTTAGCAGGTATATAAGAATCCCAGCATTCAGGGCCCATACTGGGGGCCCATGGTTTCAACCGTTGGTTCACAGGACTCAGAGTTGCAGCTTTCGGGAGATGTGTAGGATTTCGCGTCTCAGAACCAGGACTAACCCTAAACCCTAAACCCTACCGCACAAGGACAGATTCGAAGACCCCCGCCCTGAGCGCTGAGATCCTCATCCAAATCTGTACGGAGTCCTAAAGTCGACGAAACTTGCTTACTTGGAGGTTCATGGGTAGTTATAAGGGTTCCTTAAGGGTCCCTTTCAAGGGATCTACAGGGATTATATCAGGGTATAGAGTTTAGGGCTTACTTGGCGGTTCATAGGTAGTTATAAGTGGGCTTATGAGTCCCCTAATATGGCCTATAAGTATAGTTGCCCTACTTATAACCCTACAAGTAATGTGTCCCTACTTGTGCCCCTAGTGTTCGCAACCGTCCAGCTGAATTCAACAGAATGCTCAGACTTTCCGGGGGCTGAGGAGGGTGTAGCACAAAATCAAAGGCCATGATATCGGGGTCTTGGACCCTAAACCCTAAACCCTAAACCCTAAACCCTAAAAGACGGACATCTTGGGGCATAGTCTCGTAGTAGTTTTCTTTAGGAGCCCACCGAGGCATGGTTTCGAAATTGTGAGTTCTGATCTCAGGCTCACCCTGCCTCTAAACCCCCAGAACCCTGAACCCTCAGCCCTAAACCCGAACCACCAGAGCCTCAACATTCCTGATCACTAAAACTAGATTAATCCAGCGACAGTAAACATCCCTAAACCCTAAACCTAAATTCAATTAATCCCGAAACAGTAAACATCCCTAAACCCTGAAGCTAATGTCATCCCGAAATACGAACAGTAAACATCCCTAATACCCAAGCCCAAAAAAACGATGCAGGTCAGACTCGGGCCATGTTCAGCAGTAAGTACAGTTGACGATATATATATATATATATATATATATATATATATATATATCCTGCATCATCTTAATGGCCCTAGCCTATGGGAACTATGATATATTACTTATGTGTAACGCATGGTTTATATCATCAACCCTAAAACACTATACATCCCTTAAAGCCCCTTAAAGGTACCCCTATAGATCCCTTCAAAGGAAACCCAGATTTGCATCGTCAACCGTATGGTGGGCGTTTCCGGCCCGCTCGGGGGCTCAAAAAGGCCCAGGAGTTGAAGGTAACAGAAACCCATTAAAAGTCCTTGTCCCCAAAGAGTGTATCATAGGGACCCTTAGGGGTGTAGGGGGAGGGGGGGTAGGGGGCCTTAAGGCCCATAATAAGGACTAATAAGGCCTATTTAAGGAAATATAGTCCCCTACACCCCTCCCCCCTACACCCCTAAGGATCCCAAAGAGTATATACTGTAAGCGTTCTATAACTAGGTTCCTGAAGTAGCCCCATTATGATAAGGGTACGCTTGTTCCGACTGTTCGGCTTCTAGACCTAAGAGTAACCTAGGAATAAAAAGGGTGCCCTTTTTGCGTTTAAGGGGCTTATAAGGGAACCTGAACCCTAAAAAAGGGAATAAGGGCCTACTCTGAGTCCTAGGCTTGGAATAAGGGAACCCAAAAACAACCTGGGCAGAAGGGTACCATAGGCAGGAACCTAGATAAGGCTTAGGGCACCTGAAGCGCTCTATAAGGCTTCTGTAGGGTTTAGGGTTTAAGGGTCCATGTCCCCAAATCGTATATACTTTGGCCTGAAGGTAGAGTCGCTATGTAAATACTTTGGAGCCAAGGTCTAGATTTTATGTTGGGACATGTTGGGACATGGACCCTCAGGGACATCAGTGGAAAGGCCTTGAGATGGTCGCTATGTAGATACTTTGGAGCCAAGGTCTATTATATTATTTTGGGACATGTTGGGACATGGACCCTCTGGGACATCAGTGGAAAGTGGCCACCAGCTTTTGCACCAAAGCTGCGCTCGGGCAAGTGAGATACAGCATGAAAGGACAACAGTGGCCCGCATCCAACGTTGGAAACAGCAGGTAAACGGTTGCCTGAACACATACTGGAACATGGTGACTCCAATCATCCAGTGTATATGCACTCAATAGCATTCCCCACTATCCAAACTTAGATGCTGCCATCCAACCTCACCAAGCAAGCACAATTTTTTGGTGCGACGGCTCTGACCTGGGCGGGAACCTCACTTGGGTTTCGGTTAGGCGAGTCGTAGCGTAGATGAACACATATTCTGACCATCAGGGGACTTAGTAAATATTGTCTTTATGAGTGTCTGCATTGGCGCATTGACACACTGTGTAAAAAAAAAGCTACAAGAAGCGTGGAGACCCAAACCCAAACCCTCGACCTTAAAACCGCAAACAAGCCCAAAAGATTCTGAATAATTTCAGGCGCCTTTGTTAAAGCCAGTGAACTCTGAAACTCTCAAGCCCAAAAACTAGGCCCTAAAGCCAAAGCCGATGAACTCTGAAACTCTCAAAACCCAAAAATTAGGCCCTAAAGTCAAGGTCAGAAAGTTGGAATATGATTATCCTAAACCATTTATGGTAAATTATAAGGTATCCTACCCTGAAACTATATTCCAACTTTCTGGAGTTCCCAGCAGCTATTCGGCCTGCAGGAGGAGCGGCCAATGTGAACTGCGAGACAGCCCTGAGGCTGCGAGGGACTCGAGCCAGGCTGCACCTAGGGCTTGCAGGGCACGAGTTGCCCCTGAACCCTACTTGGAGGGGGTCCCTTTAAAGGGATCTATAGGGATTATATAAGGGTATAGGGTTCAGGGCGCGAATAGGAGGTTCATGGGCAGTTATAAGTAGGGTTATAAGTCCCCTTTTATGGGTTATAAGTATTGTTACCCTACTACTTATAACATGAACCTCCAAGTAGGGTTTAGGGGAGTTTAGGGACCAGGGTGTGTATGTGTAAAGACTTTTTCTTCTGAGAGCATCTAGGTGCACCTAGGGGTCGTGCCACAGGGCATTTGGCATTTAGAGCTTAATTAGGGTTCAGGGTTTATAGGGTTCAGGATTGAGGGCTTAGGGTTCAGAGTGTAGATGGATAAAACATTCTTCCAGGAGTGTCTGTATAGTGTCTGTAGCGTCTGTACCTGGGGGACCCCATTGGCTAAAATGCAGCTAAAAATTAGAGGCAACTGGAGGCGAAAACAGACGCGAGCTCAAGCAGCCACGAGTTCAGGCATCCACCTGCTTCCGTTAATAGGCCTCATAGCCGGGGATCCTTCACTTATGCTAGGATTCTAAGTTTTTGTGCTCCCTGGCCCAGAGAAGTTTGTACTCGCACGAGCCAAGGATGACCAAGCCCTCAACCCGTAGTCCCTAAGCCTAACCCCCTCAAACCCCAAAAACCCTCAACTCTAGGCCTCTTGAGGTCTACGCCCACGCGTTTACATGCAATATGACGGTCCTAGTTGGGCTAACACACAGGCTTGCGGGGCCAGCCTTCGGGACGGGTCTTAAGGCATTTTCGGTGCTTCTTGTCAAGGGCTTAACTTCGTGGCTGTGTTGAGGTCTTACGGCACAGTACTACACCCGAAAACCTCAACTGCCAGGTCTGGATCCCATAGGCTGGATATCAACGTTTTTGCTGGGTCCGACTTCCCAAAAATTATCTACTTGCCAGGATCCTCTTTGCACCTGCATTTGTAGGGTTATAACCCCCAAACCGTAGGCATTAAGTGTCCTAGTAGAGGGTAGATGAAGCTCTCATGACCTTGTGCACATCGCGGGGGAAGAGCTGGAGCTTGCTCTGCCAAGCGGGCGGCATTTCTGACATCTCCTACATGGCGTCCATGAGAACCTCCTGTGCTGCCCGGTAAACACTCCGAGCAAAGCCATCCACCCTCGGTTTCTGACCCAACCCAGGAGCTGTGAAAGTTCGGGGCATCCAGTCATGGTATTCTTGGATCAAATTGCCGCTATGCTGGCAGCCCTGGCTGTCGTCCGTGTGCAACGAGGCCAGACTCCATACTTGTTTGAACCACGCCCTGGATCCCGGCCTGCACGGCCACACTGCCGTCCCCAAGGATTACAACAATTTTGTGAACTTGAGGAAGTCGAAGTTGCAGCGTCAGCGGGTCGGTCAGCCGTACGCGCTTTTGGAAGCCATGCACTTTGGGTTTGAGGATGCACTCGCAAACCTCTGTTTGGCCCGCCACCTTCAACATAAATTTGTAGGCACCGAGCACTTGCTCGCTTTGGCCTGTTTGAGGGCCATCGTACTTTCCAGGCATCCATGTGTTCAGCTTGCTTGGAGGATGGGAGGACTTAGTAAGTAGAGCTACAAGTACCCTAAAGGGGATCTTAATTGGGGTTATGATACTTGTGACTCTATAAAACAACTACCTACTGAGTCCCTCGACCCTCCAAGTGGTTGGAGCCAGGAAATGGAGGCCACTCTCCTTGTCGCCAAATTTGGTTTCAAAGGTGGCTGCTATGCTTAAGGTTTAGGGTTTAGGTTTTGACTAGGGATATGAAGAGGCCTCCACATGCAAACTCTGCGAGGGCCGTGCAAATCGACATCGAGCTTGCCAGCGTGGGCACCTCAGCTACACATGTCTCCAAGAGAACACGTACTATAGCGGCCTAAATCAGTACCTATAGTATTTAGGGGTTCCTTATTCTACTTGTTATAAGCCAAGACCCCATTCTAACTATTAAACCCTATTCTAATTAAACCCTATCTTAATTATTGCACCTACATCACATATAAAAACCTTCCCAAACTCCCAGGAGGATCTGACACTCGACCCCTAATGGGAGACCCGATACTACTCATCGACTAAGGGGCACCTGAGAAGAGCTCCTTTAAGGAGTCTACCTTTCAGATCCTTCCAGGGTCTGGATTACTTCTGTATGACCGCTTCCACCCAAGTCTAAACCAACTAGCCTTTCTCAGAAAAAAACGGTCGACCAAGCTCGTGGCCCCTATGTCACTCTTCCTCTTGGAAGTACTTGTGGCAGCACTGATTGCTCTTACAGTGCTACTACAAGCGACTCCAATGATTTCCATGGCAATAGTATTTTGGGGCCTGAATCATCAGAATGGGGGAGCATGCTATACTATAGTGATATGTGGATGGTAAGGAAATATTTAGCTATTCAAAGAACTACACTTCTTGATCTTGCTGCCGCTCTCAGGCGGACAATACTACAGGAAAGCTCTTTTGACATGGGGAAGGGCTTTGCCGTTCACAAGCTAAGGTTATGCGGTGTAGGCTTTGGGGGCTTGGGGCCACAGAATGGCAGTGGTGAGCATTTAAAGTTATGGGCATTGGGGGGTTTAAGACTGCACTTGCAGAAGAACAGCTGGAATCCTAAACCCTAAACCCTACGCCCTAAACCCTAAACCCAAACCTGATTCCCTGAAGCCCAAAATCCGACGACGGCTTCAGCCCTACCCGGACCATGGATAGTCATAAGTAGGGTTCCTTTCAGGGTCCCTTTATTATGTCAACCCCATGAACCTCCAAGTAGGCCCTAAACCCTATGCCCTTGTAGAATCCCTGAAGATCCCGTACAAGGACCCTGAAAGGAACCCTACTTATAACTACCCCATGAACCTCCAAGTAGGCCCTAAACCCTATACCCTTACAGAATCCCTAGATCCCAAGTAGGGTTGTAAGTCCCCTTATATGGGCTATAAGTATAGCTAGCCTACTTATTTATAACCGTACTTATAACTACCGGTGAACCTCCAAGTAGGTTTTCGGGCTTCATTCGAAATTTTCCAGTTGCAGAGCCACCATTCCAGGCGACTCCATCGCAAGCACACCCCTATACCCTAAACCCTAAACCTGCAAGAAGATCATTGACAGTATACGGTGCCACGAAGAGAGTTCATGGAGGAGTTGAGAGTTTGGGTTTGGGATTGAGTGTAGGAATAAGAGGAATTAGGATTTAGGTGAAGGTTTGGGTCTGAGGTCCTTATACTTATACAGCACTACTGACGGCAGAAAGGAACATGCCCGCTGACAACGGTCATGATGCAGAAGATTCCACCAGATAAATCCTGGACCCCAAACCCTAAACCCCAAGTAGTAACCCCTCACTGCAAGCCCTACCCTAAGGCTCCATGTGCCCATATAGTATATACTTAGGCCTTAAAATACCTATATAGGGACCCCTTTAAGGCCGAAGTATGTACTATAAAGGTACATGGAGCCTTTGGGCAATCGAGGCACCCGACATGATCCTGCAGAAGCGCTACCACAGCGTCACCTGGTCAGGCCAATCTGAACTTAACCTAAGGCCCCAAAGTAGTGCCTTTTTGGGATTACCTTATAGTATTCTATATATGAGCCCCCAAAAGGAACTACTTTGGGGCCTTAGGGTAGAGGAGCACAGAAACCAACGACACTCTTTGTCATCTTCAGGGTTTAGGCTCAGAGGGTTTAGGACTCATGGCTTAGGCTGGTATAAGGCTAGCATAGGGTTCAGGGTTTGCAGGGATTAGGCACAGGGAGCTGGAAAGGCGTCAATTCGGGCACACTACTGCAATTGCAACGGGGTCCCTCAAATCATTTTAAGTAGGTTACTTGACTGGTATGCTGTAGTGATTTACCTGAAAAGGCTCGGGAGACCTTGTCTATGAGTCAACAACCCTGGGCAACAGCAACAATACAAAACGACTACCATGGAAGTTTCAGTTCAGCTGACGGAGTCATGGAAATCTTCGTCTTCAAAACCATCACAAGCATCGTCGTTACGTACCTCCAACCGAAGGACCACAAACGTCATGCAGATCCTCGTCAACAAGCGCGAACCCTAAACTCCTACGCCTACAACAACAGCACCCTCGCATGTACGCGCAGCTTGAAGGCATGTTGACTACTTGGAGGTTCATGGGTAGTTATAAGTAGGGTTATAAGTCCCCTTATATGGGTTATTAATAGACTTGCCCAACTTACAACCCTACTTATAACTACCCATGAACCTCCTAAGGCTCCGGGACCCAAGAAGTGAGATCCCAAACCCTGGCCGCAGCCCTCCAGAGCCCAAAACCTTACCCCAGAGCGCCCATGACCCTAATAGGAGCCTTAGGGTACCCTAAGGCCCCAAAGTAGTTCCTTTTTGGGGTCCATATATAGAATCCTGCAAGTACTTTGTGGCCTATGGGTAAACCCTGCCTGTGGCCCAAAACACCTGCCCTTTTAAGGAACTGTATATAGAAGCCATAGTAAGGAATCCTAACAGGGTAGGTCTCGTCTGCTACAGCTAACGCTACAGGTAAACCGTAAACCCCGAAACCCCCATAAACCCGAAAAGCCCTAACCCAAAACCCATCAACCCCTAAAGCCCTAATCCCCAAAGAGGGTAAGCCCTACACCCTACACCTTAAACCCCATGCTCCAAACCCTTGGTCCCAAGCTGGAGATCGCTGGATGCTGCAGCGTGGACTCCCAGACGTGTACCAACCTCGGTTCGGAGTTGTGCCGGGCGTGCTTTCGTTTTTGGGGGGCTTGCATTCAAGACGAAATGAACCCCAAGAGGGTTTTAATTAAGTCTGCCATATGGGGATTCATAGATTAGGGTATAGTAAGCAAGTATAGTATAGGGCCCCTACGTTTAAGGGTCATTTGGTCATTAAACTTGGAGTTTATTTACCCTAAGGGTCCTAACAAATTGGGGAGCCTCAAAATTGAGGGTTTCTGAGGCCCCAAAGAGTCCCAAGGACTCTCCCCAGGACATTCCGGACCCTCCTAAGGAGATACCTGGACCCTTAGGGTAGAGAGTGGAGAGAGTTTCGAGTTGAGGGCTTCTGCTTGGCAACCTTAGGGGGTCTGGGAGCCCCCAACCACGGTTTAGGGTATTGGGGTTTAGGGTTCAGGGTTCAAGGTTCAGGGTTTTGGGGTTTAGGGTTTAGGGTTCAAGGTTTAGGGTTTTGGGGTTTTGGGTTCTACCTTTTGCGTCTCTGTATTGTTTGGTGCAACATTCTGGCATGTGATTGTATAACGGAGGGGCGTGAATACCTAGCATAACACCTCGGGTTTTGCTTCAATACTACTAGTATTCTTCAGACCCCTCTATGAAGCATTGGGGTAGGGATGAGGCTTTCGGGGGTTTGAAAGAACCGAGGGTTTCTGAGTTGAAGGATACATGGCCGCTTTGCTGCAGAAGTGTCGACTGGCATGCAATCGTTGAGGGAAACAGCCAAAGCAGGGTCTGCATGCTCCGCAGAGACAGGTGAAAATCTCGGCCTGCGGCACACTTGGGGTGTGCGATCTTCTTCTTCCAGCTTCTTCCATGAGCCCCTAGGGCTGAGAGCCTGCTACATGACGCTTTCGGTGAGCCCGGTGGCGTCATCAAAGTCGTTAATCCGCTTGCGATGGATGGTCGACCTGCATCAACCTCGGGGGTTGCCTTGACTGCATGCGCGGTTGGTGTACTCATCCACCAAAGTGTCACGTGCTGTCTCTTGCAAGGGCTCTCCGAAGAAGACCCTTCACGATCCGTACGACCGCGGCCCCTCTAGGTGCCTCATCGGATGACGGCGGCGGTGGCAGGGGGCATGCTTTGCGCCCTGGACGGCTTTTAACTCCGCTCGGCTTTGGTGCCGCAGGCTCGGCTCGACGGGTCACTGCAGCCCGAACCCCAAAGTCCTACAACCTAAACCCAGAACCCTAACTCCTGGACGGTCTCGGAGTAAGAGCCCATTCCATGTTGCTAAGGGTTCGGGCTTCAGTTCAGGCTTAGGGCTTATAGGGTTGAGGTTTAGGGTCTAGGCTTAAGGGTTTACGGATGGTATGGGATGGTTTAGGGTGCAGGCTTGGGGATTTTCTTGAGTTGGCAATCAATATCTGCATAAACCTATAAAGCCCGTGCGAATCAAAGTAGGACGCCTCAATTTCTTAAACGAGCTCCCTTAATCAAGAGCTATCACCCGTCGTGGGAATCATGGGGACTTGGAAGATCTGTGAGTAAGATGTTGCGTACCCCAGCCCGGGGTTGCAAGTAACCACAAGTCAAGCTGCCCTGCCGACCCCCATTTGTTACTAATATTTCGACCCCAAGCCCATAGCGCTTTTATCCACGAAAACCCTAAGACGCATCAAGCAATACAATCCGAACCTTGAGCTCTGCTTGTAAACCCTAGACTCTAAGTCATTAAAGGCTAAACTGCTAACTAAACCCTAAAGCCTTAAACCCTAAACTCCTAAGCCTTAAACCCTAAACTCCTAAGCCTTAAAAACTCCTAAGCCTGAAACCCTAAACTCCTAAGCCTGAAACCCTAAACTCCTAAGCCTGAAACCCTAAACTCCTAAGCCTGAAACCCTAAACTCCTAAGCCTGAAACCCTAAACCCCTAAGCCTTAAACCCTAAACTCCTAAGCCTTAAACCCTAAACTCCTAAGCCTGAAACCCTAAACTCCTAAGCCTGAAACCCTAAACTCCTAAGCCTTAAACCCTAAACTCCTAAGCCTTAAACCCTAAACTCCTAAGCCTTAAACCCTAAACTCCTAAGCCTTAAACCCTGAACTCCTAAGCCTGAAACCCTAAACTCCTAAGCCTTAAACCCTAAAC